CCCCCCCCCCCCCCCTCTCTCTTATTTGTGTGTTGATCATGACAACGATAACTGCGGTCCACATTCAACTTCTTACACCCCACTTTTACCCTTCTTTCCTCTTAATTACCTCCGAATTTTGTTGCTTGTATTTTTTTGCTTTTTTGTTCGATGTTCTTATTGGCAGAATAGCCTAGGAGATACTTGTACTTGTTCCGGTTTGTCATCCCGGTCCCTACACTCCATAAAGGTTCATCCAGGCACTTCAACTTAATCAAAACAAGACTTTTAAACACCTCCGGAATAGTGTGATGCTCACTTGCTTGACGTGGATGACAAATCAGCATCCACATCAGATTCTACGCCAAAATAATATTATTTAACAAAAATTTAATTTCATAAACAAAAAATAAAATAAAAAAAGCAAAAATTTAAAATTAAAAAATAAAACCCTCCTCCCTTCTTCAAACCCCACTCAACCTTCTTAAAAGAATAACCCACTACCATGGCTCCTCCACCATGAATACCACTACTTCCTTCACTCCTCTTTTAAAGAAAAGTTATCTATCCATGAAAAATACATGAGTAGAGAAATTAAGTCTTTTGAATTTTTGACTTATTCCTCTACCCCCAATTTGGAAGGGCTGTGAAAAAATTTGAAAGCTAAATCAACCGGAAAAATGGGGAGTCATAGAGAAGGGGAAGATGACATGATGGAAGAAGAAATACACACACCAGGAGAAAATCTAATAAAAGAAGGGATGAAGAAAAAGGGGAAGGGAGGGGATCTGAAGAAGAAGAATGAGGAATAAGAGGGGGGGTCAGAACGAAAGGGGGGGGGGAGGACTGAAGAAGAATAAGAGGGGCGAGGGAGGGGCAGAATGAAGGGGGAGGGATGCGAAGAAGAAGAGGAGGGGGGGGGAGGGGGTGCAGAACGAAGGGGGAGGCGCTGCTAGTGTATTTTTATTTATTTATTTATTAATTTTTATTTTTTTAATAAAAAAGAATCATCAGCTCACGCACTTAATGTGCGTGTAAATCACTCATTTTGTCCACTTCAGCCATATTAATGCCACATAAGCTCGGTCAACGGTCAGAAGGGTTTAAAAGTCTTGTTTTGATTAAGTTGAAGTGTCTGAATGAAACTTTATGAAGTGTAGGGACCGGGATGACAAACCGGAATAAGTACAAGTGTCTCCCAGGCTATTCTGCCTTCTATATTCGTTTTGAGGTTTAAATTAATTCGAATTTATTATATTGCTATACCACTTTTTATTATGTGTTTCTATTACCATAACTCAAATTGGAGATTTATCCTACTCCTTAGACATCATTTGGTGGCAGGTTAGAGAGGAGATTTTCATGTATTAAAAAAAAATTGAAATTAAAATCTGCATAAAAAATCTAGCATAAGTTATATTATAATATTTAGTTGTTTTTTTTTCTCTCTTTTTCACATAAAACATCGTATTTGCTAATGCAATATTTGGTTCAAGTTTTTCTTTTCCGCATAACTAATGTATGTATAAATTTTAAGGGAATATATGTATTACTTATGCAGAGTAGAAGATGGAATAATGCATACATATTAGTAATACCTGTATTAGAAAACAAAATGACAGAATATATTTAAAATATACTAACAAGTTTAATTGAATAAAGTAGACTAATAATAAATAATACTTACGTTACATCCTACATAATTAAATCATGTATAATTAATTCTTGCACAACTGATTCTATAAGTAATTTCTACCTTAATAATACATGCATAACTCTAGCCATCAACCAAAACCAAACGGCGTTAGTGGTTGCTCCTATTCTCATTGCTTGGTAGTTTCCTTGTACTAACATTTTGAATGATTTATTCATAGACATGCATTCATACTAGCAAGCATTATTTTGTTGTTGTTTGTTTGTATTTAAAGTTTTATAAAACACAAGCAATTGTAGTTCAAGTTCTAGGTTACATAAAATATTATATGACCAGAAGAGTTGTATCTGGACATACATCTTTTAATGTGTGCGTCTAACTTCTTTTACACAGCTTCTACTTTTACGTATGCTGATTGCCTGAAATGATTTTAAGTACATTAACAAAATACTATATGAACGGAAGAATTAATTGTATTGAGTGATAGATTCCTTTTTACAATTGAAGTGTGCGGATATCTTGACCAACTTTTGCAGTTGTCTTAGGTCGATATAGCAAATTCCTCCTTGTGTCCTTAAAACATTCTATATAGTTCATGCTACTGGAGTACCGGTATTTGAAGATAGTGAAAATAGCCGGGATAACCAGTTTTTGGATTGGTAATTGAAAAATAGCTTGTATTTGTAAAGTCATTGAAAAATAGCCACTATTTTGCTGCAACACGGAAAGTTCCAGCATAATATACTAGAGATTGAAGCACTTGTGTATGAATTTCCAACATATTATACATGAACTCCAGTATATTATGCTAGAAGTCCAGTATATTATACTGGAACATCAGTATATTATGCTAAAAGTTCATATGTAAAAAATTCGAACTCCAGTATATTATGCTGGAATATTTTCCGCATTTTGAATAGTGTTTTCATTCAGATTTATCTTTACATGAAAAAAGGCTAAATTTCGATTACTTTTAAAACTGTGCCTATTTTTTAATTACCACTTGTAAATCTGGCTACTTTTGAATTTCACCCTTCGAAGATATATATTGAATATTTGAATGAAGAAGAATGGCAAGCAGCGATTCAAAGTCTGGTCCAAGATTTTTCTTCTTATTTTTGTAGTTGGAAATTTCGAAAATACTGTATAATAATCTGTTTACCCTTAAAATAGATAACAATTAAATCTGTACGCGATTTTAAGGATATGTGGATAGATTCAACACAAATGATCAAGAATATTAGATAAATGAATTAAAGGCAAAATGAATAATCAAACCAAATGTAATATTACGGTCCGGCTCGAACATAGGTTGAACAGTAGTTTTGCCCTCGATCAGACCCTTAGTTTGAAGTTAATTGTGAACAAGGAACAATCAGTGAAGTAACAACTTTACAATAGTTAGAGAACAGAGAAATGAATTTGTATTGCCTTGGTTTCTGTGTTACCGTCCCCTCAAAGAAGAAAAACCTCCCATTTATATAGTAGGAGAGTTTTATCTTTAGTACAAGTCTAAAAAGGTAAAAATCTTCCTTTTTTATTAATTACTGATCCGTAATCGCCATCGAGCTAGATCCTCGCAGTGATATCCGGGTGGTTGCAGATATCATAGCCTTCTATCCGTCGCGTACAACCATTCATTGTGCTTTCCGAAGTTTCAGACTCGTCCCGAGTCCGGGGTGCATCATTTTGTTAGGTTCGATGTCGAGCACTTCGTTCACTTTTCACGGGCCCTGATACAAAAAGTTCCTAGCTTCAATTTCAATCTCGGATGTTCATGCCCTCACTTCGTTTTGTTCACTGGGAAATCGGGGTGTACGTTATCCCCGATTTCACCCGTATACAGATAGTCCCCTCGTTTTCCGGAGAGTAAGTTCGCCGAAATAATGGGAAGCGATAGATGAACCCGGGTTCCTTCCTTTGTACATTACAACCAAGGTGACGGATAAGCCGAAACGTCCCGTCAGTCGCATCGTTCTGACTCTGGCCACATTAGAATGTGAAACGTCGCGCATTGACTGTTTCTTCCCTATAAAAGCTTCTCCCTTTGCATTTCTTCCACTTTCTAATCCTAGATTTTACCTTCGAATTTTCAAATGGCTTTTAAAATTTTCAAATCTCCATACTTTGTTTCTTGAACCTTCATATCTTCATCCCAGACCTTCAAACCTTCATATTTTTTTTTGGAATTTCCAACCCAGACCTTCATATCTTCATCTCTGACCTTCAAACTCTGACTTCGATTATTCAAATTTTTCTTTCGAATCTTAATATTCTCCTTCAAGTCTTCATATTTTCCC